GATCACATGTCCGACACACAATTGGACAGCACTTTGATAAAACCATTTTATTTAAAATTTTGCTCATAGGTTTAACCACAGTTTAGGAGTTTTGCAATTTTTAGGTTTCATCACTAGTTTAGGAGCCTAAATTCTGTGGGTGAATCTATTTCGGATTCACTAAATAATTTTTGTCATGACAACCATATATACCTGCTGCCATCACAGAATCTAAAAATAGAGTTTCAATTAATCAACAAGGCCGAAATATTAATCACGTGATTCTAAAAATAGAAAATTAGTCTGTCACGTAAATAGAATGTTAGGCAGTATATAAAGAGGAAGGTTTTCTAACATTTTCCTATATTATAAAAAATTTAAAAATATTTATAACATTATTTCCTATACCATTATTTTTTCAAATTAATAATTTATCAATACTTAAAAATAGTTATCAAAAATGAATCCAACAAATAATTCCATTGAAGAAAGTAACTTTCCTATTGATCCAATTATTAAATACACTAATAAAGGTTCAATCAGTAATAATTTTAATTATGAAGTAATAGAATTAGGATACTATCCTGAAAATTTTAAAACTACTCGTGGAAAAAATGGTTATGCTATTCCTGATGAATACAAGGTTAAAACAACATTTGGAAAAAATATAATAACTTGTTCAATTTATTATAATGAAAATGACTCCTGTTTTTCTGATTGATTGGATTAAAGATGATGAAAATTTTAATGTATATTCAGAAAATTCAACAACAGATGCTTCTGATTTATATTTCATGGTAAATTAAATTTTATATTATATTATATTATTTTCTTTTTGATTATTAGATTTTTATTGATTTGAGTAATTTTAAAGAAACTTGGATCAAATTCACGAAAGTTAGGAATATTAATGTTTGGATTGCAATTAGAATGCCTTAAAAATTATTGTGAACAAAATCCTCTTAAAGAAAAACGTATTCGAAAAAGATTTGATTCTTTTGATAATTTGTCAACTTTAGGCCAGAGACTAAGGGTTATATCAGTAGGCCAAGATATTCAACAGACATTTGAAAGTAGTAAGTCATCTGCATTAAATATTAACAAAGATTTAGAACAAGCATCATTAATCAAAACAATATTTGAAGCAAATGATATTTGCTATGAACTTTCTTATGATAAAAAAAATTCAAATGTTGAAGAAGAAGCCATTGTCAAAGTAATAGATGAACATAATATTGGTAGAGATTCATATAGAGCATTAGCAGCAATAATTCATTCTTTACCACGTGAATATGTTATAGAGAAAAGAAGAAATAAAATCAATCAAATAATTACTGAAAAAATACCAATTTTCACTTTTAATACATCAAGAGAAAATCCTGTTGGAAAATGACACAAGTGATGTGGATAATGATAGTGGCAATGATACAGAAGAAGAAATCAATGAAAATATAATTGTAGCAGAGGAGTCATGTAGAAATGGAGTTCGAAGAAATATTAAAGATATCCTTTATTATTTAATTCCTTATTTAATTGAAAGCAAAGTATTAAAAGATAGTGATGAATCTCTTTATATACGAATTTCAGGAGATGGAAGAAATGTTGGGAGAAAAATAAAACATGTCATGATAACATTTGCATTGTTAAATGATCATGAAAATATTTTCAATCCCAACTATCATTATTCATTGGTAATTTATACAGGACAGGAGGATTATGAATGCCTAAAAAATGTTTTAAGTCCTTTAATTCAAGAACTAAATTCTCTAAAAGAAAATGGCTTTGTAGATAATTTTGATAAGTGTTGGAAAGTATATTTATATATTTCAAGTGGTTGGAAGTTCCTAGCAACTGTTCTTGGATTTAATGCTGCTAATTCAAACTATTTTTGTCCATGGTGCATTTGCAATAAATCTCAACATGGAAAACTTAATTTAAATTGGAGTATTTCAAAAAACATGGAAGATTTATCAGTTAATTACAATCCTAAAAATCCAAAACTACACAATGGTCAAATTAGACTGCCTTTATTTTCAATGATTCCACTTGATCATTGGGTCATTGATGAATTACATCTAATGCTCAGGGTAATGGATCGTTTGCTTAGTTTATTATTTAATGAAATTAAAATTACCCAGTCTAGCAACAAAAATTTCTCAGAGGCTTTAAGAAAAACTGTACAAGAAGAAATGGAGAGGATTAAAGTTCCTTTTAAATTTTCATTGGCAGAAAATTCTAAACAGTGGACATATACATCACTTATGGGTCCTGACAAGTTAAAAGTATTGCAATCATTTGATTTAAACAAAGTTCTCTCTCCAGCACGTGCTGATAAAATAAGAAAATTGTGGGATGATTTTGCTGATTTATATAGCAACATGTGTAATCCAATTTATAATTCTTTGCAATTTCAAAATAATGCCTTATTATGGTTTAAGAAATTTTTAACAAAATCTCAAGGTAGTCCTTTACAAAATAATTTTATTGAAGGTTTGTATAATGCATCTGATGTGACTCCATATATACATGTACTTGTATATCATGTACATGAATTTATGAGTCTTCATCAAAGATTTGGCCTTAAATCTTTTTCTTGTTCACCAGTGGAGAAACAAAACCACATGCATATTAATAAATTTTTCAATAAAACTTTTAAAGATGGTGGAAATTCAAATAGAAAATCAGCAATTTATGAAATAATGGAATCAGAGAATAGACAGATTTATTCTTGTTACTTATTGTCCTGTTTTCCCTACTGTCTACAATTTCTATTTCCTTCCACATAAATACTATATCTCCTCCATCTTCTGATCGTGTACAAATATCTGAGAAAACAGCTTCATTATTTTCATAATATTTAATGGCCCATTCTTCCGATCCCAAACATTCATTTAAATTTTCTTTCCCCACCATCCCTTTAAAAACACACCTATACCACCTATCAACACTTGAATATCTTGTTATATAATTTCTAAATATTTGAACAAATACAGCCTCATGACAAACTAGAACAAATTTTTTCCATCCTCTTCCACTTCTATTATTTTTGTAGCAACTCCAAAAACCAGATATAATTTCTTGTTTAAATTGCCTAACCAAAAATTCAGGAACTTCTAATGATAATATACTTACAGGCGGATTATTATATTCTTTATGGTTTTGAGCTTCATGTCTTCATAAACCATTAATATTTTTATACTCATAATCATGTTGACACAGATTGCATTTATAAATTTGATTCTAATTTAAAAAATATAAAAACAAAAACTATTAGACCAAAGAATGACTAGAAAATATTAAACAGTTTTCAGTACTTACTTGGACTTGGATTTGGTTCATTTTTATATATATGTATGTATATATACGTTTATTTATTATTCTAAAAAAAATTAAATAAAGATCAGTTATTTGACTATTTCTATAGTATTTTTGTCCCACCATAGACGGGTGGGAAGATTTGGTGGACTTTTTATTATTATGAAACTTACCCTGGGAAGATTTGGTAGACAATGTAAAGAGTATATAGCAAAAATAAAATAAAATTTTTTTTCGAAGAAAAATAAGTTTTTATGAAATACAAAGTATTTTTAAGAATATCATCAGTAAAAAAAAATTTATTTTACTAAAAAAAATGATATGTTTACTATATAGTGAATTAATCTACTTTTTGCATCGTACTATGTTAAAATAAATGGATCAGCACTAATGATTAATATTAAATATAATTATAAGATGTCAAGGCAGTACACCATTGAAAAAGAAACATTTCGATATGCAATATTTTGATTATCGGAAATTTACAGACGTTGAAACACGCACGCTACCTTGAACACTTTACAGTCATTCTCACACGTTTCCTCGTGTACACAAGGCTAATCTGACCAGCTCCGCCCGATGATATGATGGATGATGCAACCGAATTCCAGGGGGATGACGCATGGCCCTGGAGTTTATCAAGACTGCATCAATCGTCAATAACACTTTCATTAATCTTCCCTCACAGCACCCGGACCAGAGAAGGCTGCTGGCATGTTAGCTGAAAAGTTGCTTGCAACAATCCTACCTTTAAGTAAGAGTGGATTCACGATTGAGAAATTTTGAAAAGTTGTAATATTAGGTATGCATAAACATCCAGACCCATCAAAGCAACAAGAATCTTCAACTCGTTTCAAACATATGAGGTCACACTTCAGAGTGGGATTGATGACCCTAAAATTGCATTTGGGCTCTGATGTTAGGTTTAGATGATGTGTTATAAATTAATCATTTTCCCAAATTTTCTGTTTCTTTAATTTTTATTTGACCAACTGGATTTGTTTTTTTTAAATGGGGCTTTTGCCAATATAATCTATCCTAGATTAAAGGAGTGGGAGCATGTATCTTACAAATACAGGGTGGCAGTTTGACTCTGCCCACTCCTATTGTGATAGTCAGCATGATCACTGGCATCACGGTGAAAACTGTAAAATAAAATGTCTCGGATTTTGTTTGGTATGTTATATATAAATTAATCATTTTCCCAAATTTTCTGTTTATTTGACCAACTGAATTTGTTATTTAAATGAGGTGGGGCTGTTGGTGAGTGGGTGCGCCACAACAAGACAACAACCCAGGACTCAAAAACTCTAAAAAATTTAGTATAACGGAGAAAGTAACCAAGTTTCCCATCGTGACTATTACTTTACCAATTTTTGGTCTATTGCTTTTCCAAAAATTCACAATACGTTTGCCTAAGATGGTAGTCGTAACCTTCTTGTGTAAGAAATTTATAATTAAGCCATCGTGATTTTTGTTGTAGGTTGATTAGATGGTCTCACTTCTTGCAATAATTTTCTAATAAAATGAACTAATTGTAGTGGTCTCTCGTATAATATATATGCCTCTGTTAAATTTGTTATTTTTACACACAACTGTTGATATTCTTGTTTTTGTTGATGGTTTGGTGTCTGTTGGTTCTCCCTTTGCAGTTTTGGACGAGGTTCTCATTCAACCTTTTGATTTAAGTTAATTGATTTATTGGATATTTTTGAACTTGGTTCTAATGGATGATTACAATCTTGCGTCTTTTGGAATTCTGAAGCTGTTATATTGATTTGATTTGCTATAAATACAAAGTACTCCCACCAATTAAAATGGTTTTATCTTCGGTCCAGTAGTCCTTTGGTTGATTTATAAGAAGAAAATTCAGATGTGTTGGAATTATATTTTATGTATTTATTTTATTGATTTAAAAGACAATGCTCAAACTAATTAATTGTTTACATTATATAAAAATTGTGGGGCAGTAAATATTAAAATCTGGTTGTTTAACCTTATTTGATTCATTTAACAAATATAACTTTTTAAATTCCTCGGCAACCTTGTCACGAGAAACCAAATCACCTTTAATATTATATATATAGGACAGCAATTGAAGAACTTTAAGTAATTCAGATATTGATTCTAAATGTTTGAATCCTGATAATTTACAAATAATTAATATATATTTATGATGAATTCATTGGTAATATTAATGAGTTTAAGAAAAATCAAATACCTATTTTTGCATCTTCTAATGGTAACAAAACTTCATCCCAACTAATAGATTGCTCACCGTTAGCTGTGTAATACAATTTAGAAAAAATTAATAACATCAATAACAAGAAAAATAATAAGACTTCAACTCAAACGTATACAAACCATTCATATTTTGACTTATGCATGCAATCATAGATTGTGCATAAATAAAATTTCCGAGTGATTGTAAATATAATGTATGATCGGCAAGAATCTAAATGAAAAAAGTTTGAGTGATTTATAAATATAAAAAAATTTACAACAAATTATAATCAGTATCATCAATCTTGGGAAAGTTTAAAGTTTATACCAAATGCATAATATTCTCAATCATAGTTTTGGCTTTATTTGGTAAATTAAAATGGATTAGTATCTGTGCAAGCCGTAATATTGCCAAGAAAAAGCTTCTTTGATAATGAAATCTTTCACTAAGGCATAATGATTTTAAAACACATGGAAGTGCTGATATTGGATTTTCTGCTTCCTGGAATATATTTTTTTTTAAAAAAAAATTTACCGAGCGATTATTACTTATTATAATGTAGAAAAATTATACAATAAAAAAAAAGGTTAATTAATACAATACTATTTGAATTTCGGCAATTTTTAACAGGTAATTCGAGGACAACATTTGATTTGTAGAACCAATCTTGGAACTGTTTTCTGTCAAATTCCAAAGCAAATTTACTGCCTGCGTACATACATATGCATATCAATAAATAAGTTAAAATCAATTTAATAATAATAATAATAAATCAAATTAAATCCTAAATCAATATATAAATATATAAATATTATTCCTAGTTCATACCTCATTTGTTCTATCTATTTTAGCCAAATATGCAGCATGATTAAATTCAAAGTCTACACGAAAATGCTCATCATTATGACAGATAGCACGAATTTGAGTCTTTAGTGCTTTAATGTTTGCTATTTCTTGTCTAAAAAAAAGTAAAAAAGAACGTAATATATTTATTAACAAAATTTTTTCTATAGACAATTTTTTTGGGTTAGGTTCGGTCAGTAACTTACCTTTCAAAGCTTTTTTGATATAAAACTTTTTCTAAACAGAGATTCCAAAGTATTGACAATTTGCGTACCCTAAGAAAATCACCCTTACGTTTAGAAAGAAGTTTTATTGCCTCCGAGTAATTGCCATTTGAAGCATGCTATAACAACAATAAAATTATTATTTTTGAGTTTTTAAAAACATCATAATAATAACAACAATTTAATATCTACTTGATCTGCTAATTGACATATTGATGTTAAAAGATCTTCTGTATTAGGATTTTTACCCTCTTTCACACAATGGGAATATAAAAATGATAAAATTGAGCTACCTGAAAAAAAAAGGTTTACAACAATATAAATAAACAAATTAATTAATTAATATAACTTCAAAATCATTTATTTATATATATATATATATATATGTACGTATGTATGTACGTATATATGTACATACCATAGACACTCCATATATTTGAATTTAACAATTTTTCTTGATATCTCATAGTTTTGGTTTGACAATTAGAGTTTAAAACATGGCTTTTAAATAATGAATCAAAAACTTCTGCAGGTGATGAACCCTAATTCAACAAAAAATTTTGTATATATAAAATTTATTAATAATGATTATTAAATAATATTTCGTAAATGTAATATGTAAATTTTTATTTTTACCAATTGAACTTGACGTTGTGCGCTTCCAAGTTCTCCTAAAACGTGCGAGTATATATAATTTGTTTTTTTAGCTTTAAGTATAAGTGAATCAAGCAATTGTTGTTCAGTTGGTCCAACATTGTCAATTGGTATCTGATCAGTTGCTTTTAATCGATACAACCAACTATTTTGTACACGTCAATATATATCAATATATGTTAAATAAATATTAAAGCATCATCATTATAATGGTGTATTTACCTTAATGCAAAACGTAAACATTCTTGATCATTACAATCACGTGCCATTTCAATTGCTTCTTTGATTGCCTGTAAGTTTAATAGAGAAATAACTTTAGAAAAATTAAAACCAACCATGAAACAAAAATCAAAAGTCTTGAAAACAAACCAATATAGCTTGTTCTTTATGGCCAAATCTGGTATGTAAGACTACTAAATTTAACAAAACATACTGATACCAATTCCTTTAAAATATAAGATTTATATAATGAAAATTCAGTTATTAAAAATAAAAAATAAATTAAAATAATTGACTTGTTTATGTACCTATTTTCTGCCTCTAACGGACAACAGTTTGAATATTTGTAAAAGTTATTTAATGCACCTTCATAATCACCTGATTGCATACATTTAACATAACTGATAAATATAATGATTATATAATCGTATTCAATGTATAATCAAATTTTAATGATAAGCAAATTATAATGATAATAATAATTTACTCAATATAATGCACTGCAGAAAGTTCTGGCATCTGCTCATTTATCATTCGAATCTTCCTTTCAATTTCTTCAGGTACAACACCGCCATATTCTGTATTTTTGGGAATGGGAAATCGATTTAATGTATCTTAAATAACTAATATATATATATATATACACACATGTATATAATTTACTTACTGTGGAGATTAGTGATAATATAATGTAGATATGAAAAGGCATCACATTTTGCATATAATTCTAATGTTAATTAATAGTAATGATTGTAAATAATTTAATTTAATGAAATTAGTTAAACTTATTAGCAAAATTATTCTAATAATAAAATCAAGAAAGTTCAATCAAACCTTGATTTTCGATATGATATTTGTGTGCAATATTATATAAAACGTGAGAATCATCGGCCAAATTATTGACTAATAGTGATGATTGATTTTTCAAAGTTTTCTTGTATTTTACCAAGGCATTAAATAGCTTGATGATATCACCAAAACTTAATTTATTGCTTTCAAGACGGCATTTGCGAATATATATACCAAACAAGTTGCTCTTTGAGCAAATTTTTGATGTATTTTTTTGCTATAAAAGTTGAAAGAATTTAAAATTTTAAAAGTTATTTGTTATTAATGTAATAAAATGATTAATTAGTAGTACCTTGGATGTATTCTAAAAGTTCTCAATTAATGAAACAAAAAATGATTAATTCAAATTGCATCTTTATGGAGTAATTGAATTAATTTGAAATATTTGAAAATTATCATCATTACATACTTCAGTATCATCATCCAATAAGCCACTAGAAACTATAATAACCATAATAATAATGGATAAAATATTTATATATTAATAAAAAACGAACTACAAATTAAAAATAATAACAATAAAAATAATAATAATAAAAATATTTCATACAATTGAAAATTTCAAGCAAATCGTGAGGACTATGTACATCTGCAAGCTAATATTTATGTGGTATATGTTTGTATGAAATAAATTATTTATTAGATTTTGTTAAAATCAAAACTACAAATAAATTAAAATAAAATATACCTTTTTTAATAAAACCTCCTTTAATTTAATAGAATCATTGGGTGTTTGTAAATTTGAAATTTCATCACAAAATTCTTGTAATGAAGGCTCAGGAAAACGGAATTCACGCTAGTTTTAAACGTTTAAATTAATTAATGGTATCAGAAGAGAAGAATGCTTTTGATGATCAAATGTCGAGGAAAATATTTTACCGAGATCCTTTCAATTAGGAAAAATAACAAAGATTCCAATTTAGCTGTTCCAGAGGATAACTCAAAATATATGATTATTAGTAGAAGTATGGAGATTTTATGTGGTGTTAGAATACTTGACTTTGATGTATGGATATATGAAGAATGTTTTACAGGACTTGAAAGAAAATTATCATCATTATTGGCCATTTTGTTAGTATTTTTTTAAAAAAGTAAAAATGAAAAAAAACACGAACATAGCTCCACAAAATAATTGTGATATCATGTGATCTCCATATAAGTCAAATTATTAGCCATTCCTGTATATTTTCTTAATCTACGACCTGCTTTTAAAGGGCACAAGATGCATTCGCAATGCTGAGACGCCTTCTTGCAGTGGGTCAATGTTTTCTTGCCCTCCTTTCAAATTATTATATATATAATCCATTGCTGAAATTTTTTCCAACAACTTTTGAAGGGGGTCTAACTTTTCCTTGTGCTCTTGATTAATTCATATCAAGTTACGGATTGGGAGCGTATGTGAAAATTTCAAACTATGTTATTATGTTATTATGTAGGTTTTGAGTAATTGAAGGTTTTTTTACTATTATTCAAGCTATAGAAAAGCTTGAAACATTAATTTTATATAAATAAGTATTAAAACCTAAGCTACATGCATATGCATAAATTCAATGGTTGTTAATATATACATATTTGCCATTAACATTCCAATTCTTTTGTCTAGGTGTCGTATATATTAAATAAATCGCGTTCAACTAGCCAAGCAAGCAGTTTATGAACCGAGCCGTTCAATCCTTAGTTACGGAACACTCGTAATTATTTTAACAAGTCGATCTTCCAGTCAATAAATATAGACAAATTGGTTTTATAACGGAATTACCATATAAAAAAAAGTATTTGTCTCATGAACATTCGATCAAAATTTTAATAACAGAAAATTATCTTCAATCTCTAGGATTATCTTTTTAAAAAACTGGCCGTAATCAAGTTGCAGCCACCTTTATATGACGCAACTATAAAAAATAACATACATAATTTTTACAGTTTCTGGCGGTACAACTTTACTGCACAATCAGCCTTCTTCCAAGAAAGCTATAGAATTTGATCGTTTCTTACGCAAAATTTTACTATGTTCCACCAAATCAGGTTCCAGCTCATAAATTCTCACCAAAATTTTGCAGTCGTTTTTTCTATTTTGTGATGTCTTGTTCTTATGAAATAAATGTCTTTTGAATTAGAGTGGGAGACCAACCACGGTTTAATCGGATCACAGTTCGAACTCCAGTTAAACAGCAATTTGAATTGTTAATAATTGTTACAATAATCTTCTTTATGATATTGCTTTTCACATATGAAAGTTTAGATTTGCTGATTCGCGCAATACAATTTAATTATATGTAATAACTTTATATATTAAAAATATCAATTCGTAGTAGCTTGTGTTCTCAAGGATATAGTTAATTGATAAACAAGACAATCGAAAAAGCTTGAAACATTGAATTTTTACATGAATATTTATCAAACCTAAGCTACGTATTAATATGGTATAAATTTAATTGCGCACACTTTGGTATTAAATAAACTATTATTATTATTACAATATAAAAACCTCAGTTCACTAGCCAAACCAGGGAACCAATTCTCCAACTCATAAATATTTTAATCTAATGTTTGTTAATTAATTAAAAAGATTATTAGCGATAATAATTAATGGATAGTGATTTCCGATTAGTAATGAAAGTTAATTCACCTTTGCTAAAATCAAGATCTTCTAATGAACTATCGTTACTTGAATGACTTTTCAAGTTTTTTGATTTAGCAATTTCTTCATCTAATATTCTACTTATATGATATGCGTATGGATGTGATTCGTGTACTGGTTGTGAATTACCACCACCATAATTACTGTTGTTACCATCTTTATTATTAAAAGAAGATATCGACTTTTTTATCGAAAATTTCAGAAGCTCTTTAGTAATTGGTCTTTTAGATGGATCCACATCCCAACATTTCTTCATCATTTGCACATAATCATCAGGCATTCCTGGTAATATTGGTGGTCGTAAACCTTCACATATATCAAAAATTAAATTATGATTATGAGCTCTATCATCAAATGGTGGATGGCCTGCAAATATTTCCCACATTAACATCCCAATGCTATAAATATCCGTTTCTTTTGTGTTCTTATTTCCTTTAAATAACTCAGGTGCAACATATGACACAATTCCATAGATTTTATTTGATGATTTTTCATCAACTGGTCCACATAATCCTAAATCTGTAATATAACAATTACCTCCTTGCAATAATATATTACC